AATTTCTTAAAAGGGAACCGGAAATGTCTCTTAATACACCCATCACACTGTGAAAAGCCATCATAAAGCAAGTGGGTTATCAAAGAATATTATAAGGTTAAATCAAGCCAAGAGGCAGGCTTCTTTGAAAGGCATACACAGACCAGAGGACTATTATAGAACGAAATGAGAGGCAAAATGCTCCAGTCACTAACAAAATGTTAGGGTGCATTACACTGAAGTAATTTTGTTGGTGACTGAAGCATTTTATCTCTCATTTTGTTTTACAAAAGTCCTTTAGTTTGTGCATTCTTTTACATACCCTGGGAATCAGAATCCTGCAAATGTCTTGCAATCTTTTGGGAAGACAGGCAAACAAATGTCATTGTGCTGGAAGAAGCAAAGACCATCAGCATTGAAGCGATGCTCCTACACCACCAATGCCGTTGGACTGGTCATGTTGTCCAAATACCCATTTGCCATTTTCTAAAGCAATTACTATACTCCCAACTCAAAAATGGGAAACATAATGTTGGTGGACAAGAAAAGAAATTTAAAGATGGACTTAAAGTCAACCTTAAAAACTGTGGCATAGACACTGAGAACTGGGAAGCCCTGGCCCTTGAGCGCTCTAACTGAAGGTCAGCTATGACCAGCAGTGCTGCGGAGTTTGAAAAGGCACAAATGGAGGGCAAAAGGGAGAAATGTGCCAAGAGGAAGACGTGTCAAGCCAACCCTGACCGGGACCACGCTCCACCTGGAAACCAATGTCCTCACCTCAGAGAAACATGCGGATCAAGAATAGGGTTTCACAGCCACTTATGGACCCACCTCCAAGACACTACACTTGGAAGGCCATCATCCTCAGGCTACAAGGGATCACCTAAGTAAGAAGTTGACATGCCCTGGATATAACTAAAATTACAACTAAGTGTTTTTACACAATATGCAAACTAATATTATCATGAGTTAAAAAAAATAATCCTCAGGTTTCTTGGTGAGTGTTCTTAATAGAAAAGTGGGCAATAATATCTGGATCTATCTATCAGAGGTATTAAAAGTTTTGTTTAAGGACAAATCAATTATTACCATTTCAGAATTCTTTAGAATTTTAAGGCGGGGGGGGGGGGGGACAGAGCTTTAAATTAATGTCTTCCTTGAGCACATATTTTTGAACAAATTAAGAGATTTCCCTCATCAATAAAGTTTTCCTACACCCCGTGCATTTATATGGTTTTTCTCCTATGTTGATTCTTTTAAGTGAAATAAGGTGATAACTTTGAAAGTCTTTCCATATTCCATGTATTTATATAGCTTCTCTTTTGTGTGTATCCCTATATTAAAATTGCTTTTTCTTTACATGTAGTAAAGTTCTTCCCATATTCCATGCATTTACAGGCACTCCACAAGTTACAAACAAGATGGGTTCTGTAGGTTTGTTCTTAAGCTGAATTTGTATTTAAGTCAGAACAGGTAAATTTTTAGGTGAAACTCCAGTGTATATATGCTTTGGATAGCACAGGGAAGGGTTTACACCTCTCTGGTGTTTGTTTTGCTGTCTATGTCCATGTGCCGAAGATTTCACCTCATTTTCTATTCCTGTGATAACTGGATTTTGAAAAATTTGGCTTGTAATAGAAATGATCCAAGCCCCTTGGTGGCGCAGTCGGTTAAACCACTGAGCTGCTGAACTTGCTGACTGAAAGGTTGGCGGTTTGAATCCAGGGAGCAGGGTGAGCTCCCGCTGCTAGGCCCAGCTTCTGCCAACCTAGCAGTTTGAAAACATGCAAAATGTGAGTAGATTAATAGGTACTGCTTCTGTGGAAAGGTAATGGCGTTCCATGCAGTCATGCCGGCCACATGACCTAGGAGGACAACACTGGCTCTTTGGCTTAGAAATGGAGATGAGCACCACCCCCCAGAGTCGGACATGACTAGACTTAATGTCAGGAGAAACCTTTACATTTACTATGGAAATGATTGCTTCCGTGAAGACACCTTTTCCCCATGATAATTCTTTCAGGAGTGAATCCCTTCCTAGGGATTGATTTCTCTCCATTCCTGTTGTCTCAGTCCAGTTCCTAACAATGAGCTGTTTTTGTAAGTTGGATGTTTGTAACTTGAGCACTACCTGTATTTGGTTTTCTTATATGTCTGACATGAGAAAATGTTCTGACTATAACTCAAACATTATTTTCACGCCCCATATATTTGTGGTTTTGTAATGTGTTCCTCTGCGGTCTCTCTGATTTGAAGAAACATTTTAACATCAACTGAAGCTGTTCCAAACTTCATGCATTTTTATGGTTTCTTCCCTGCTCTAGTTCTGTACTTCTTTGGTGTTCATTATTTGTTTAAGATCTTTCCACAAAATACTTCCCCACCCCCTTCTCTTTCTTTTATTATCCTTTGGGAGCAGGAGTTCATGGAGATCAGTGCACTGTCGACTTTCCCCTGTACGGTTTGGCTCATCTTTAATCCCCAAGGGTCTTTACTCCTACTTCATGCTTGCTTATCTCCCACAACTCCACAGACCAAGCTCCCCTTTTCATAAGGATCTTTCCATCTCCTTTGTTCTTCTGCCTCCACACATCAACAACTCTCTGTTCCTTCAGAAGTTGTAGAGAAGTGCCACCTCCACTGTATTTAGGCAGGCCTTTAGTTATCTACTGACAACTACAGAAACAATTTTAATAGCAAATGTTGTACATTATTTCTACTGTTATGTTTTAAATCAGTGGTACACAACGTGTGGCCTGTTTGGGACGCCAACTCCCAGAAAGCCTAGTCAGCTTGTCTCTGGTGGAGGTTGACCACAGAATTACCTTGGGGGACCTAGAGAAGTGTCCTTCCTAAGAATCACCAGTCCTACCAGAACAACTCTGTGATCAATATACAGTGAAAGTTAAAGTCACACCAGAAGACCCAGAGATTCCTAAAGAGGACATATTAATCAAATCTGCAAATGGGCAAATCCACAAAAGTCAAATCTGCAAATATGGAGGGCCAACCATATTAGATTTGCTTGCTGCCTTTCCTCTGGTGAGCTCAAGGTAGCATCTAGGAGGTAACTGACCCAAGATTATTCAGTGATTCCTATGGCTCACTCAGTACTCAAAACTAAATATTCCAATGAAGTTTCTATCTTCTACTATAACACAAAAATGTGATGTTTCTGGCCAACAACTCCCATTAACGCTTTGCAGTCACAGCCAACTCCAAACCAACAGGTTTTGAGGGATCACAGTTGCCCATCTCGGCTCTAAAACAGTAAATGGATGCAGTGAATTTTCCCCTAAAACATCGTGCCCAACATTTCCTGTTCCTTTTCCCAATGGTTTCTTTCTTCCAAAGTTCCCCTTCACATTATATGCAACATAGTATACCAATTGTAAGGAGACACGGAAAACATGATCCTCACTTTGTTTAAGGCATGGAGGATAGTATTCCAAATATTTTGTGAAATATCTACTGTGGAGGATGCGACAAATGGCTGTACCTGCACTTCCTTTTTACAATAAAAGAGCCAGATCAACACAAGCTTCAAATGGCAAGCTACCCAACCAAATCAAAGGGCTTAGCATACAAGCAACTTCACTTGGTATTTGAGAAAGAAAATCCTACAAGAATTTATCTCCATTCTTAGATACAACTATGGTCATATAACTAATATTTTCCTTTGTATTCATGAAACCCCAAATCTGTTGCCTGGGACAACCCTTTGAACTACTCATGGGAATCAGCAATATTGTTCTGAAGAATTCAAATAACAAATGTAAAAAAAAAATAACACTAAGGGATAATATTAAACAACTACTGACTAATTCAGTATATTGTCAAACAGATACCAAAGGGCTACTCCTGAACAGAATATGAATGCCATTATATTCTCTCCAGGAACTGGTTATGAGAGACATACTGTCTTGATACTGGAGACAATGCATAGCAACTATGACTAGTAGCCACTAGTGTTTACTAGTGGTAAAAATAAATCTAGAAATAGGATGAACCAAGTAGTAATCTACCGTAGCATTCATTCGCATTTTGTATCAATTTTCACAGTTGTCTGAATTTCCACATCTGACTTAAAGCCTCCAAGGAGATTGATCAAAGTTCCAAAACTAGTGTAACTCCAGAATGAAAAATTATGTCACTCAGAACAGGTCTAATTCAGTCCAAGTATCTTAAGAAGCTACAATGTAAAACATGCAGTTAATGTGCTAAATGCCCCTTTAAACCTATTACAGGAAATCATGCACAGCAGATAGATAGATAGATAGATAGATAGATAGATAGATAGATAGATAGATAGATAGATAGATGATAGATAGATAGATAGATAGATAGATAGATAGATAGATAGATAGATAGATAGATGATAGATAGAGATACACACACACACACACACACACATATATATATAAAAACATTTCATTGCTCTTAACCAACCATAGTTACATTTCTGAAAATGCAAGGTATGTTAGAATGATATGGTCATAGCAAAAATCATAATAGTTGTAGATTTACATTTCTGATTCAACAAATAATGCTCAGCCAATCCTTAAGCATCCAAATTGTGTTCTTGATCTTTCAACTTGTATGCATATAAAAACCTAATTATTCAATGCAAATCTACTTAGCTGGATCAAAGTAAATATTTCTACTGGAAGAACCTTTATTGCTGACTACCTTCATACAAATGCATATCGAGTTGGCAAGTTGTAAATATTTTGTCATAGCTATCTCTATCAGATGGCCAAAGAAACAACAATGACATTTTTTTATTTTCTCAAAAGTAGAAATGCCAATTGGAGAAAAGAAGGTTAATTTCCTGCATTACAGCAAAAATAGCATTATGTAATGATTTTTTAAAAAAAAAAGTTTAAAGGACGACAATTGAAAGGCAACCACAGTAAGTGTTGCGTGGAGACAATTGAGTAATCTCAGCTATAGATTTTAAAGAATATATCAACAGTTTATTGGCTTATATTCCTGGAGAAGAGAAAGGGAAGATGTTTTACCTGTTCCTGCTGACTGCTTGATGCTTTACGTCGTCTTGATGCTGACTGCTTTACGTCGTCAAAGAAAAAGCAGAGATCATAAAGTCATGAGTTGATTCCCTCAGTTAAGACAGGTAAAAGTTGTTACCTTTCACGAACAGAACATTTCAATGGATAGATCACGAAGGAACTGAATTTTGCATCTAAGGATCTACAAGTGCCCATTGCATTCTATGCCTTGATAAATGAAACAAGAATGTCTAGGTCTGCTATCATGTGATGCCAACTTAGAAGCTGGTGCTTGTTTTGACTGCCATTAGCAGTATTCATTGCATTTACAAAGCTCCTTTTAATCCTCCGTCAGTCCTTGGAAAGGGCAAAAGAAAGGGGAGGGGAAAGTAAATGGATCACTGCTAATTCTCCCAGGGAAAAATTTCTACACACATGTGACAGAGGTTAACTCCATGGCAGGATGGCAAATTGGGAATCATAGAATAGAATCATAGAATCATAGAATCAAAGAGTTGGAAGAGACCTCATGGGCCATCCAGTCCAACCCCCTGCCAAGAAGCAGGAATATTGCATTCACATCACCCCTGACAGATGACCATCCAGCCTCTGTTTAAAAGCTTCCAAAGAAGGAGCCTCCACCACACTCCGGGGCAGAGAGTTCCACTGCTGAACGGCTCTCACAGTCATGAAGTTCTTCCTCATGTTCAGATGGAATCTCCTCTCTTGTAGTTTGAAGCCATTGCTCCATTGCGTCCTAGTCTCCAGGGAAGCAGAAAACAAGCTTGCTCCCTCCTCCCTGTGGCTTCCTCTCACATATTTATACATGGCTATCATATCTCCTCTCAGCCTTCTCTTCTTCAGGCTAAACATGCCCAGCTCCTTAAGCCGCTCCTCATAGGGCTTGTTCTCCAGACCTTTTATCCTTTTAGTCGCTCTCCTCTGGACACATTCCAGCTTGTCAATATCTCTCTTGAATTGTGGTGCCCAGAACTGGACACAATATTCCAGATGTGGTCTAACCAAAACAGAATAGAGGGGTAGCATTACTTCCCTATATCTAGACACTATGCTCCTATTGATGCAGGCCAAAATCCCATTGGCTTTTTTTGCCGCCACATCACATTGTTGGCTCATGTTTAACTTGTTGTCCACGAGGACTCCAAGATCTTTTTCACACGTACTGCTCTCGAGCCAGGCATCCCCCATTCTGTATCTTTGCATTTCGTTTTTCCTGCCAAAGTGGAGTATCTTGCATTTGTCACTGTTGAACTTCATTTTGTTAGTTTTGGCCCCTCTCTCTAATCTGTCAAGATCGTTTTGAATCCTGCTCCTGTCCTCTGGAGTATTGGCTATCCCTCCCAATTTGGTGTCGTCTGCAAACTTGATGATCCTGCCTTCTAACCCTTCATCTAAGTCATTAATAAAGATGTTGAACAGGACCGGCCCAGGACGGAACCCTGCGGCACTCCGCTCGTCACTTCTTTCCGGGATGAAGAGGAAGCATTGGTGAGCACCCTCTGGGTTCGTCCATTTAACCAATTACAGATCCACCTCACCGTAGTTTTGCCTAGCCCACATTGGACTAGTTTCCTTGCCAGAAGGTCATGGGGGACCTTGTCGAAGGCCTTACTGAAATCCAGGTACGCTACATCCATGGCATTCCCCGCATCTACCCAGCTTGTAACTCTATCGAAAAAAGAGATCAGATTAGTCTGGCATGACTTGTTTTTGATAAATCCATGTTGACTATTAGCAATGACCGCATTTGTTTCTAAGTGTTTGCAGACCACTTCCTTAACAATCTTTTCCAGAATCTTGCCTGGTATTGACGTGAGGCTGACCGGACGGTAGTTGTTTGGGTCATCCTTTTTTCCCTTCTTGAAGATTGGGACCACATTGGCCCTCCTCCAATCTGCTGGAACTTCTCCCGTTCTCCAAGAACTCTCAAAGATGGTTGCCAATGGTTCCGAAATGACTTCCGCTAGTTCCTTCAATACTCTTGGATGTAGTTGATCTGGCCCTGGGGACTTGAACTCATTTAGAGTGGCCAGGTATTCCTGGGAAGTATGTCAACGTGTGCGGGGAGTACCCTTAAAGTATCAGTTTCAACTAAATTCAGAGTAATCATCTCAATAATGGCTAGCTACATGAGAAAAAGATGAGACAAATTAGGGAAGCCGCTGAGAAAATGTTTTGTCTCTTTTGAGAGTTCCCTTTCCACCTGTCAGTCTTGTTAAATCCTGTGTTCAGGTCTTAAGTCAGGTAAGGGTTTAAAGATGTCTTCTCTGTCACAGGATAAGTGATTTTTTTCATTAGTATGTTTTGAATAATAGCAGTATTAGTAAACTTTTTGAAACCTGGCCTCCAAACAATGTTTTCAGCTAAATCTTCCAGTGTAACCAATGGCGTGAAGATTCTGGAAGTTGTAGTTTGAAAATGTAACTTTTCAAGCTCCAAATCAGGTATTGGGGAAAGGAGTACTCAAACTTAAACCTGTTTTGTTATCCAAAATGTAGGGGTATGAAATTAACCTCTGAGATTAAGATCATCAGGGTGGGGTATAAATATGGTAAATAAATAAATAACCTTGGTGCAATGTTTTGTTTACAGATTTGTCCAGTTTGCACCTCAAGACCTGAACCAGACACAATTTACAACTGAATATCCAATCCATTCTATGAAAGAAAGAAAAACAATCAAATGTACGCATATGGGGAAAAATGTAAAAAAGGAAACCCATAAGCAATTCTGGATGGAAAGAAAATACTTCACTTGTACATTTGAAAATGTCCAGAAAATATATGAATTTGTGTGTCAAGGTAGACAGATACATGAGATGAACTTCAATGAGCTCAAAACCTGCATATTCTGACTGCAAAAGAATTACAGTGACCACATGCAAAATGTTCTGTCTTTTCTGATAGAAGGTTGTATTTCTAAGGATTCTTTTGGGATTACATTTGGAAGCTTTGAGACCCAGGCACAATCCCTTGCAGTGTGACAGTAGGTGGTTCTTAGAAATAGTACAAGAGTGATGTTTCAAGGCAGCACTCCAACCTTAGGTTTCTCCCTTTCACCTTGAGAACCAGGGAAGAGGAGCCGGGATCTGAGAATTGGGATCTCAAGTCTCTTAATAATACTTTGTAACCAAATATCAAAATTTTTGCTCATCCATATGCAAATATAGAGATCATCTGGTAAGCGAAACTAGAAAAGAGACTCTGTTCTCTCAAGTCAGTCTCTCCTGTGCCCCTTCTATACAGCTGAATAAAATCCCACATTATCTGCTTTGAACTGGAATATATGGTAGTGTGGACTCAGATAATCCAGTTCAATTCAGATCTTGTGGGATTTTCTGCCTTGATATTCTGGGTTTTTTTGGCTGTGTGAGAGGACCCCTAGTTTAAGCTTTTACAATGTATTTGAAGTATCAGTGGATTTTAGCTCTCTGTATTTTTGTCTTTAGCATCAATAGAAGTATAGTTATGCATCAAGTATAGTGCCTAGGTCAAGGAAAGTCATAGTCTCACTCTATTCTGCTTTCGTCAAACCTCAACTGGAATACTGTGTCCAGTTGTAATTGCCACAATTCTAGAACGATATTGAGAAGCTGGAATGTGTTCAAAGAAGGGTAGGAATGCTTTGATTGGATGTTCCTGCATGGCAGAAGGGGGCTGGACTGAATGGCACTTGCAGTCCTTCAACTCTGTGATTCTAGCTCCAGAGGAAAACTCTTGCAAATCCATCATGGGTAAGAAAGGCGGGGGGGGGGGGGGGCATTTTCCTTAGAGTCTTCCTAATGGCAATGGATCCTGTCTGATCTTGGAAGCTAAACAGGGTCAACCCTGATCAGAGACCAACAATGAATACCATAGACTACACTTCAGAGGAAGGAACTGCCTGAGAACACCCTATGAAATGCATGGTATTGCCATAAGCTGAGAGGCAACTTGAAGACATGTACGCATACACGTGCACACATACACACTTTCTTTTGGAACCAACATTTTGAAAGCATGTATATATCCTTATGTACAAACAAAATACAATGAATGGGAAGATAAGCTATGGTTCTATTCCAAAATATTCAAAGCATGTCTCCCCCTCCTTCATCTGTCATTTATCTCCTACATTGACATTCTGCTTTGTCTCCAAGGAGCTCTAGGCAATGCACATGGGCCTCTTGCCCACAACAGTCCCATAAAGTCTTAAATATAGTGACAGGTCCAAGTGTTTTCAAAATGGAGAGCTGAACCTGGGATCCTCAATCCTAGTCTAATGGTGGCAACCACTCCCATTAACCACTGGTGGTGTTGGCTGGGGCTTCTAGGAACCGTGGAGGGCTACATGTCCCCTCCCCTTACAATAGACTAACTTTTTTCTTCCAAATCCAAGCAGTCCCGTAACTATCCCATGACAAAAAGCATGCCTTTGGATTAGATAAAGAGGAGAACCTATGAGCCAGGGGGATGAGGGCCCTACACAGACTGTTTCATGACTAACACGGTTTTGTACTCCAGTCATGAGCTTTTGTGTGGCTAGAGTCTGCCAGGAATGCTGGAGAATACGAAAAAAGAGCAAACTGTGAACTGGTTTCAGGTCTGCCAGGATTTCTACCTTATGACAAGCATGTGCAGGGAGGGAAGGGCAAAGAAAATACATTTTGCCTGCATTCCTGACAGACTTTTGAGTTCTAAGTAATGAAGCAGAAGGGATAAAGCAGAAGGAGGAGGAGGGAAAGCTCCTCCAGGGCTCGGTCATATTTGCTTTCTTCCAGTGTCTCAAGGGAGTGGTAATTATTAGAAAGATGTTTGCATAATTGAATATGCATGTAAAACCTCATCCAAAGGACTGTTTATGGGACAGGCTTATCCCAAAGAAGCAAAAGTTAGTGGAGGAAACAAGAAAACTCTCGATTTTGGGTTTAATGCTTTGCACACAGGAACATTTGGGTTCAATCTCCAACATAACCCAGTTTTAAAAAAAGAAAAAGATCTGAGGTTGCAATATCAAGAAATATCGTTGCTGG